CAAAGCAGCATCCATCCTGGAGCACACTGTGTGTATGTGTGTGCATGTGCACGTGGCACATATGTGTATTTAAACGTGATCCTAGTGAATTTTATGGGAACACTTTTTATGAAATTATGAGAACACGTACACAGTATAAATTCTCACTTTGTACCCTCATTATTGAAAATGTAATTTGTTTAAATACTAAATAATATACTTAAATGTTTAAATCACTGGAGGAATGCATGGTAGTAATACATTAAGCCCATTTTATATCTCCTACCCTAAGGTTGGCTGTGTTAAGCATTGGTGAATGAGAAAATTCACACCAGATGATGCTCACAGATGCATAATTATACACTTTAGGAGAGGTAAGGTGTTTGGTCTCTACATGTAAGACTCCCTAAGGATTCTCTGAAATATAAATATTTTCTTGTAAACAATGTGTCTTTGATAAAGCAGGCTAATTTCTGGTAAGTAGCATTGCTGGTCTAAAAAGTCACACAGAAAAGGAGTGCTGAATTTTGAAATAGTTTAGAATTGTGGACACAATTCTATATAGTGAATCAGAAAACAGGAATTCTCAACCTGGTTTTCCCTCGCATGGACAGAAATTGCCCAGGAGTGTGGCATGCTCTTTCTCTCAACCAGCATACAGCGTTAGACAGGTAATATCTGTTGTCTCCTGTATATCGTGAAGTTGATTCTAATGCTTAAGTATCAACTTTTTTAAAGTGATAGAAAGTAATCAAAAGGGTGAAAGATTTTTGAAAATGAAGTATAAGTAGGTTAGTTCTTGTTATTTCAATGGCTAGGTAAGAAAAAAACACATAAAAATAATCTAATAGAAGTTTAACTGTCCATTAACAAATGATCTTCTCTTTAATACACATATTTAGTGGGTGTGATTGAATCCTTTGTAGAAAGAACCTTTCATTTTAGTGGAGTCCTAGTCTCAATGACGTAACTAAAAATTGGATCTAGTACCAGGTCTGATGGGTCACCTGCTATTTTCATGACCTCTTCATATCCCTCACCCTCTTATGTCTATTATAGTATGTAAATAATAACTACCTGTTAGAAATTTTGCCTTGGAAAGTCCTTTTTAGAAAACCAATGATAAGCAGTGAAAGTCAAAATTATTTCATACACAGCTTTGGCAATAGGTAAATAATTCAGACTAATGTAAATATATCTTGATATCTGCTTAATATGCTGTTTCTTCTACAGAAAACCAAAGGACATTTTAAGAAAAATGTTTACTTTTTCTCAGTATATCATGTTATCAGAGTGGTTCTCATATATTTTGCTGGACTCTGTGAATGATGTTTCAGAGGTGGCTCATATTGTTTGATTCTGAGAAACAGTATAATAATTTAATTCCCTATATTTTTTCTGCACATTCGTAGAAATACTCTAATCATACATAAGTACTCCTGATCAATTATCTTACTTCCTATTTCTTATTTTTTACTGTCCTTCCCATTTTCCTTTATTTATACTTTCCATTTTTTACTGTCCTTTTTGCTCAGATCAAGTGCATCAAACTTCCTGGAAGATTTTTTTGCATTTGTTTTTTCAGAATTTTGGATGAATCATTTATAATGGCTAATTCTTTTAAATTTTCAAGAATGCATATTTTAGTGGAATAATAGGTTATAAATTTCTGATGATGGTACATTTATTTAAAAATTTTTTCATCTATATTTTCTTTTTTCCTTCTGAATTTTTGCTCTGTGTATATTTTAATCCCCTCTCTTTCTTGACTTCCTCAAAAATCTCGAATCTATGGACCTAGAATTCTATATTAATCATATGGTAACTTGCTGGATCCAGTTTTTCCAGGACATTCCTGGAGTTAAAACTGAAAGCCCCATGTTCCACGAATCCCCTTCATTGGGACAAACCAGAATGGATGGCAGCATACTAATTGAGTATGATGTCAATGTTTTTATACTAGCTTTTTCCTTGGAATACAATTTCCTTCCTATCTGCACAGTTTCTCGGAATGTCAAAATCTTTTCCTCATTAACTGAATAACCATTTTCCTGTTCAAATTTCATCATCTAAAATGTGTTAAAATCTTCCATCTAACATTTATTCCTTTGTGTATATTTTTAATATTTTGATAATTAACGTTTTATGATTCCTGAGTCTGAAAAATGGCAGTGGCAGTGCACATGGCTTACAGAACATCTGGAGATGGGTCTGCCCTCTATGAAAGAGTTAGAAACAGAAAGATAAAAATGACAATAACGGAAGTATTCTATAATCAGGAGTATTAATTTTTATCTAATAGTATTAGGGAATAAACACGTGTTTTTCTTCTCCCATGCCACTGCTGACAAATTTCAGGAGGGATTACACAGCAACGTTAAACATAGTGATAACAGAAGCTAATATAGCTCCCCAAGGAAAAAAAAATGCTACAATTATATTTCAAATGATGAGCAAAAATAAAATCTCAAAAACAGGAAAAACTGTCACCTTCTGTGTATCACTAAATTCATTCATATAATGAGCCAAACCCATATTCGTTTAAACTGATATCCATTTGTGCTCAGTCTTGGCATAAGAATTCTGCTTAAGTTTAATTCAAACATTTAATATTTTTGATACATGAATTTATGAGGGCAGAAAATAACTTATATCCTATTCAAGAAGGCAGAAATATTTTCCCATTGTTACATCACGGATTCTTTACAAGACTTCGATGTAATGCACACCTCCTGATCTAGTGACTTTGGATAATGTCACTAGAGAATGGGGTTTATATTTTTCTAAATAAGAAACTTTGATTATTCATTTATGGAACTGGGTATTTTCTTAAATATTCAGATTAAAAGCAAAAATTAAAAAACAAACAAACAAATAAATGGTTCACAGTTCTTTATTTACCATGCATGCATGTATATCTTGTCTCTTCTTTCAAGAAAGCCAACAAATGGTGAATTACAACCAAACGTCAACTGACTTCTTCTTATTGGGGTTGCTCCCACCGTCAAAAATTGGGCTGTTCTTCTTCTCTCTCATTATGCTCATGTTCTTGATGGTTCTGCTTGGCAACCTGTCCATGGTCCTCCTCATTGTGCTGGACACCCGCCTCTACACCCCCATGTATGTTCTCCTGAGCCAGCTTTCCCACATTGATCTGAATTACATCTCCACCACTATCCCCAAAATGGCTTTCAACTACCTGCTGGGGAACAAGTCTACCTTGTTCATCGGGTGTGGGGTTCAGAACTTCTTCTTCATGACTTTAGTGGGAACTGAAGGACTGCTGTTAACATGCATGGCCTATGAACGCTATGTGGCCATTTGCTTTCCTCTCTACTACCCCACCCAGATGAGTAAAAGAGTGTGTGTGCTGATGATAGCAGGGTCATGGATAACAGACGCCAGCAACTCTAGTGCCCACACTGCATACATCCTCCATATCCCCTACTGTAGATTCAGAACCATCAACCATTTCTTCTGTGACATTCCAGCCATGATGACTCTGGCCTGCATGGACATCTGGTTCTACGAGTGCACAGTGTTTGTGAACACCATCTTCTTCCTCTTGTTGCCTTTCATGGCTATCGCATATTCCTATAGCCAGGTTCTCTCTGCCTGCGTTCAATGGCAGGGAGGAAGAAGGGTTTACTGGACCTGTAGCACCCATCTCACCATGGTGACTTTGTTCTACGCACCCTTTGTTTACAATTACCTATGCCCAAGATCCCTGAGATCTCCAACAGAGGACGTGATACTGACTGTCTTCTATACCATCCTGATCCCAGTACTCAACCCTGTCATCTACAGTCTGAGAAACAAGGAGGTGATGGGGTCCTTGAGGAGAGTGATTCAGAGAATCCACTTTGTGAAAATGTAAACACAGTTGCATTAGCCCCGTAGCCTCACAGGGAGGTCACATCAACATTGTATAGTCACTAGGAAAAGTATAATTCCAGGATGAGAATAAGGACTAAATTAATCTAGAGTATTAATGTAATTGAGATTAGGCAAAATAATTATATTTTCCCAACCCCTGTTTTAGTTTCATTTGTGGCAATATTTCAATGAACATAAAGGGTATGTATTTTACTCTAATGTGAGGACAATATAGTTTTACTTATATATAGAAATAAAAATGAAAACAGCCAAACTTGATGTCATCATTCACTATAATAGTTCTACCATACTCATATATCACCCCAATGGCTAAAATGAGATAAAAGAACATTAAAAATTATACGATTGCTGAGTTAATTCAAGAGTATGTATTGGTTTTATTTCTATTACGGTTTTCTCTTAACTGGTACATACTGGTTCTTCTATTTCCTATTTTTAAAGGAGTTGATAAATATAGAGATTAGGCAGAGGGGCTTGCAGGAAATTGGGAGTCTTTACAACACTACAAAGCAAACACAACCATTTTATATCTTTCGTGAGTGGGGCCCTGTAAACATATGGGGCAATTCTAAATAAGTAACTTATTTACAGGTCTATACAACCTACAGAATAAATAGTTATGGTTGGGGAAATGCAAAATGGACTATGGAAGAATGAGAGTCACTTTATAAAACAATTAATGGAGGGAGATTCAAAGTGGCATAGAAGTTAAAGACCGTGCATGCCTCCTCTACTTACCACCCAAAAATTATAGCAAAACTCCAGAGAGGGCAATATATGGAGTCATCAGAGTTCTGGCTGAACAAAAGTTGTATGGCCCAGCCCCACAACTCTTAGTGGTGATGGTGAATTGAAAGGGCTATCATGGCTGCAAAGCCACCTCTCCCATCCGAGGAGCAAGGAGTCTCTGCCACACACTGGGCTCCCAAGCACAGGGTTTCAGTGCAGGGAAGAGAAGTCCCCACAATATCTCTCTGTGAAAAGAGCTGAAGATGTGGCTGAGTGAGTCAGAGGGCTGCAGGAAGAAGAGACCTCCCTCTTAAAGGTTCCACTCTCAGCATTGATCACTGATACACTTGCTCGCTCTTAAGCTCTGGTGTTATGAGAGCAGCCCAAAGGGTGCCATGGACATATGGGGAGGTGCTGAACTGTTAGGATTCATGGCGAGGGCTGGAGGCACAACTGACTCCCAGACAGAGGTGTAGGCATAAGCCATTGTCCTTCTGTTGAGCTCTACCCACTCCCAGCCTGCAGACACAAGTGCCATCAACCTGGATAGCACAAGTCGCTCTGCCCCAGGGATTCCCTGAAACTTCTCCCCTTTCAACTTGTGTGCCCCCCCACAACTACATCCAGTGATTTATTCCATACAATCAAGCTGTCTTGGGTCCTGCTATAAAATTTCATAAAAATCTTTCAAAGTTTCACAAACCCCAAAGAAGGAATATCTGACCTCAGCATGCCCTATACCTACAGCCGAGCAGCCACAAGCTCCACAGTAGTGGTGGGAGCCTTGGCTTCTGACTTGGCACCTTGAGGCACCTACAAGCCCAGCAAGGGTATCGACCACATGCAGATCGCTTCCTGACTGTGACCAAACTAGGCCCGCAGCCGTACTCCTCACAGGTCTGTGGCAAGGGAACTCACAGCATACCTAATAAATAAAGCCACTCTACTAACACCAGGAGACTTAGAAGCCCTACCTACCTAATACATAGAAACAGACACCAGGAGGCAGACAAAATGGAGATACAAAGAAGTACGTACCACTTGAAGGAATAGAACAAAGCTCCAGAAAAAGAATTCACCAAAATGGAGACAGACAACCTACCCGATGCAGAGTTCAAAACACTGGTTATAAAGATGCTCCAGGAACATGGGAGGAAAGTAGATGAATTCAATGAGAATTTCAACAAAGAAATAAAAAAACATAAAACTGGAGATGGAAAGCATAGTAGGGATCCAGTCAGAAATGAAGAATACAATATCTGAGATGAAGGGTATATTAGAGAGAATCAACAGGGTGGATAAAGTGGAGGATCGAATCACTGATATAGAGGACGGGGTAGTGGAGGACACCCAATCAGAACAGCAACAAGAAGTAAGAATCCAAAAAAAGTAAAGATAATTTCAGAAGCCTCTGGGAAAACATTATGCATAACAACATTCGCATCATAGGAGAACCAGAAGGAGAAGAGAGAGGGCAAGGAATTGAAAACCTATTTGAAGAATTTGTGATGGAAAACTTCCCTAACCTGGTGAAGAACATAGACACACAACCCAAGGAAGTTCAGAGAGTCCCAAAGAAGATGAACCCAAAGAGGCTCAGGCCAAGACACATCATAATTAAATTTCTAAAGGTTAAATTCAAAGAGAGACTCTTAAAAGCAGCAAGAGAAAAGCAACTTGTAGTGACTTCAGGAACATGTCATAGAGATGTCTCCAGATCTCTCCCCTTGAAAGAACATAAGCTGAACATCTAAAACTCAACAAAAACACACAAACTACATACCAGCACATCTGAGCATGGGATGTGTGCATAAGAGCTACCACAGGTCAGAACTCTGGGAGTCTGGCAGTAGACTGAGAGAAACAAAGAAGCTGACTCTTGAAGCCAGAGCTCCTTGCAGGAGAAGAGGGAGGGGAGAAGGTGCAACGGGTTCTCTGAACTACCTGGCCTGGGAGAGCTGTGAGCTACACGCAGCTGGGGGCAGAGCCCAGGGATCAAGGTGGAGAGCAGAGAAGTGGGGACGGTGGAGAATCGGAGATGGCAGAAAAACAACAGTTGATTATTACCAGCCTCAGTTACAGAACACGAGGCTGAGCCACAGCCCCAATCTCCCAACCCAGAGGGCATCTCCCCCCATATCCTCCAAGACTGAATACCGTGGAGCCCCAGGAGAATCTGAGCAAATGTTCCTGAAACTGACACAACCCTGACAGGGACTGAGACTGAGGGTAGCAGTATGATTGAATATCTATTAGAAAAAAAAAGCATTATTAAGACTTTATATAAAGCAGGGATCCAAGAGACTTAGACGCCATCTACTGGAAACCAGAAAAAAAGGCCTTCTTTGCAACAGAAAAAAAAAAAAAAAAAAAGGAGACTCCACTTCCTTTAATGACGAAGAGGAGAAATAGCCCATTCGACACCATGAACAACCAAGGTGACAAGGCAGCTTAGAAAGAAAGACAAAAATCGCCAGAAAATAAGCTTACAGACATAGAAATATGCAACTTAAATGACAGAGAATTCAGGATGGTACTTCTGAAAAACTCAACGAGGTCCAAAACAATTCATATAAACAATTTCAGCTGAAGAAACAACTAGATGAACAGAATGAGTTCTTCAACAAGAAACTTAAACCCTCAAAAAGAACCAAATAGACCTTCTAGAGATGAAAGAGATTGAAAAATGAAATAGCAAGCTTGGGAAATAGAGTTGAACAAATGAAGGAAAGGATCAGTCACATAGAAGACAGAAATCTAGAAATAAATCAGAAGGAAGAAGAGAGAAACCAAAGAATGAAAAATAATGAAAGAGAAATACAACTGGATGATACCCTCAGGAGAGGAAACATAAGAATAATGGGCATTCTCGAAGGGGAGGAAAAGGAGCAGGGATTAGAAAGCATTTTCAGACACATAGTTGATGAGAATTTCCCAAATCTAAGGAATGAGCTGAAGATTAGAATTTGAGAAGTCAACGGAACACCCAATTATCTCAACCTTAAAAGGCCTTCTCCAAGATACATTGTATTAAAATTATCAAAAATTAATGACAAAGAATTCTCAGGGTAGACAGGAAAAAGAAGATGGTAACCTATAAAGGAAATTCATTCCATTATCGTCCGACTTCTCAACAGATACCTTACTAGTAGGAAAGAAGTGGAATCATATATTCAAACTATTAAATGAAAGACACTATCAGCCAAGAATAATGTATCCAGCAAAGCTCTCTTTTAGATATGAAGGAGAAATAAAAACCTTCCCAGACATACAAAAATTGAGGGAATTCTCCACTCACTATGAGGCCTACATTACAGGAAATACTTAAAAGGGTCAGCTCATCTAAAATCAAATAACAAAAGAAATGTATAACTAGGAGTAAGGTGACTAGCAGGCAGATAAAGCAGAGAAGAGCAACCCTTACTAAGAACACAGCATTATAAGCTTAAACAACAAGAAGAGATTTGCTGTAGCAAGATAGTAATGAATGTTCAGCATACATAGGCACAAACTTATACAACTGAAAAGGGGAGGATTCAAAGATCCAAATTCACAAAGGAGAATGGAGGTACGGCAAATATATATATGTGCTATCTATCTATCTATCTATCTATCTATCTATCTATCTATCTATCTATATCATCTACCTATATCATCTATCTATCCGTCATCTTGCTACCCAACCAATAGTTTTGTGTACCTATAGAGTTTATGCTGATACCATACAACAATGGTGATGTGTCGCAGCCAGAATCATAATTGTTTCTGAGCTCACCTGTCATTTTTACAACTATTCTTGGCCCCTAATCCAGGCATCCAAGTGAAAAGTAGGATGTCTCTGGAAATGCAGTGTCTGCCTGTGCTCCAGCCTAGAAGAAAATTCCTACTGTGATCAAAGGTCTCCCTTATGTGTCATGGAGAGAGCTAAGGCAAAGGCCCACCAACCTCAAATAATTGTTCTCTTATAAATATGCAAAGTTTGTTGCTCTTGTTACTTCCTCTGAATTCATTCCTAAAAACAACATAAAGGATGGCATCTTAATCTAAAAATAGTCTCTAAAAATCTTAATAATTATATGTATAATATAAAATGCAAGAACTTGCTGTTTTTAGGTTCAAACACAATTACTATGCCAAATCAATTTCCTAGCCACAAAGAGAACTTTATATTTAATAAGAATAGATGCTGCTAAGCTAGAGATGAC